AGCTTTTCTTTCCCCTGCATTGCCTCAGACGCTGCCCAGGATTTCCAAGGTCAGGAGCCTGGTCCCACGTCTCACAGCCCCGTAGGGATTCTGCTACAGTTTAAAGAAAACCTTAATCAGATTTATTACCCCAATTATTAGAATTCCACAGCATAGCTCATAGTAGCAAATTGCTTTTTCTGAGAAACAAGAGTTTTTAAAATTAAGCCTTTTATTTTGAGGTAACTGCAGGTGACAGCCGTCATGAGGGAACATGGGATGCCCACGTGCCCTCTGCCGCCTCCTCCCAGGACAACCCTCAGAGAGCAGCCAGGGCCACATTCGGATCCGGACTCTGAAATGACAGTCCCTTGACCAATAGCGTCAATGGGGTCTTCTTACTGATCAGAATCACACAGGGGATTGATCGACTGTTACTTCACAAAACTCACAAGCTCTCAAATCCTGCCCTCCCTCTCCCGACAGCACAGAGGTTAAACTAGTATGTGCATGAGACCCAGTTACTTCCTCGCTAGTACACCAGTGGATCACCACATGATCTCCCCTTCTACATTGATACCGATTAAAACACAACATCTCAGGTGACCTACGCATCTGAGTCCGGAAGCCGCTGCTTTGATGAAGCCCAGGAATTGCTACAAAGTACAGCAACATCTCCATGGCGAACTGGCCACTCTGCCGTCCAGGCGCGGACACTGGGGCGGGCGCCGGCTCTGTCGTCGAGGCGCTCACAGGCAGGCACACGTGAGCTCCTGGAGGACAGGGAGAGCGGCCGCCCCGCCCCAGCAGAGCATGGGACACTTCCAGCAGTGATGCCGTGGCAATAGGTGGCACCTGCCTGTGGCCTCTTCTCAGAAGGATGTTTGAAATGAATGAGGCCGGATGCACAGGCACAGAGAGACACAAGCAGATGTAGGCAGGCGTAGGCTTCCGAGTTTTTATAACAGCGCCGTCTGTGCCTCAGCGCTGCATCCAATGATTAAACCAGCAGGGTCTGACGGCTCCTGCAGCTGTGACATGGGTTGAGCGCAAGTGACGTGTGAGGTGTCCCCAATGGATGGCACAGGGAGCACCCACACCCGCCACCGCTGGGTCTGCAGAAGCTTGTGTCAGCTGGAGGCTAGTGAAAACACACGGGAGTTTATTCTCCACCCAAGTTCAAACTCCCTGAACTCAAGAGACCCAGGCTGAAGATAGGACAGAGTCCCGGTCCCAGAGCCCCTCTAACCCCACGCCCGAGGCCCTATGGGAACCTGGGACCTCCAGGCAGGGTTGCAGGTTCCTTCCTAGGAAGGAGGTTCCCGCCCTACTCCACATTTCTCCACATCCAAATTCTGACTCTTTGGTCTCATTCCAACTGCAGAGCCTGACAAAGACTGTAGGGCCGTTATTCCAGGAAATACACACACACAGGCCAGCAACATGCTCAGATCCCAGTCCCTGGCAGCCCGACTCCTCGTTCTACAGAGAATGGGTAAGGATCTCCAGGGCTGAATACTGCTCATATCTCAGCACATGCAGAAGGCTGGGCTGGAGCAGCAGCCCCTACAGTCCTGGTCAGGGGACCGGAGGCCCTTCCACAGTGACTTTTTCTTTTTGATACATGGTCTTGTTCTGTGGCCCAGGCTGGAGTGCAGTGGCACCATCACAGCTTACTGCAGTCTCGACCTCCTGGACTCAAGCAATCCTCCCACCTCAGTCTCCCAAGTAGCCAGGACTACAGGCATGGGCCACCATGCCTGGCTAGTTTTTACACTTTTTTGTAGAGACAGGACCAAGGCTGTTCTCAAACTTCTGGGCTAAAGTTATCCTCCTGCCTGGCCTCCCAAGTGCTGGGATTACAGTTGTGAGTCCACAGTACGCAGTCCCTGCTTTCCTCTTAACAACCCTGCAGCTTGGCTGACAGCAGGACCTGCCTCCCTACGCCCGCCTGGAGGAGCTCAGAAGCCTTAGCTCCTCAAAAGCAGCCCTTGCCAGAGATGTGACTCCACACACGGGACCAGGAACAGGCCAGGCCCCGCAGAGGCCTCGCACCTGGGTTTCCTAAACACAGCTTCAGTTCAGTCACACACCAACGGTGCAGGCGGGTTACAACAAACGCCAGGAAATGCACCCATGGGACAGGAGAGACGTGGGAGCCCCATGCGCCTTTGGTGGCCAGGGCTGAATTTTCAAGCAACATTAGAAGTGTTTTATTCCAGCTTTTCTCTTAACGCAAGGGTTAAAATGGAAAGCTGTGGTGTGAGGCAGTCTGCTAAACACTAGGATGAGGGCGGGAACTGAGAGCTGTCTTCTCTGCTGCCACCTGCGCCACAGGAGCCTTCCCAGGGCCTCTCTGGTTTCAGCCTCTCTTCAGGGAGTCCGACAGTGCTGCTGGACTGGATGGGAGGGAGACTCATGCTGACTGCATGGAGGAGGAGCACTTTTTATAAAGATCAGATCAGGTTTCTGGAAACAAAAACCCAAGATCCTGAGAGCTGCTATTTTGACTTGACGCACACTCCAGAATTTCTCAGGTGTCCATTCCCCAGCATCACCATACACCCATCCCTGGCTGGAGAGCGCACTCTTCAATGCGGAGGCAGAAGGGGCAGGCAGACGAGCCCAGGGCCCTGGGGGAGTGGGCGGGGGTGCTCCCACACGTCTGGTCTGATCTGTCTGGTCTGATCCGGTCGGAGGCATCACAAGGGAAGGTGTGGAGATGCTGCCAATGGGGACACAGGAACAGCTGAAGAAGACATAGGCACCCCCTTCTCCCCACACCTTCCCAGCCAGAGGGAACCAGCCAGCAGCTGGTAGCAGCTCAGTCCTGACGGCTGGAGACCTAGCCCTAGGCGCCGGCAGGCTGGGATCTGCTGCTCAGGGCCTAGAGGCAGCTCTGGGCCAGGGTGGAGGCTAGAGGCCAGTGTGCATAGGCAATCAGCTCCATCACTGGGGTGGTGGCTGCTAAGAGCAAGGCCTGTGCTTGGTGCCTCAGGGACATAAAAGAGAACCAACCACTCCCTGTTCCAAGGATCCCAGGTGGGGAAGGACAAGCAGCAGCTGTGACTACAGAGTACAGGCGACTCACTGGGGTGTGGGTGCAGGGGACTCACTGGGATGTGGGTACTGGGGACTTACTGGGGTGTGGGTGCTGGGGACTCACTGGGATGTGGGTGCTGGGGACTCACTGGG